GAATCCCCTGAATACCCAATGTTATTTTCATTAGTTAAAATAATTGTGGCAAACAGCTATCAAGGCATTCCCGGTTGCATTGATTCAAATGCATCCCCCTACCCCCACCCCCGTTTTTGACAGCTCTTAAATCCATGAGAGCGCGATTCAGTGGATCGTCACATTTAGTTAACAGGAATCCCCCGCTTTCTTGATGGCCATAAAATAATAATTTGGCCCTAGCCGGTTTAGCTCAGTGGATAGAGCGCGGGCCTGTGGACTGAAGGGTCCCGGGTTCCATTCTGGTCAAGGACACATTATGCCTGGGTTGCAGGCTCCATCCCCAGTAGGGGGCGTGCAGGAGGCAGCTGATCAATGATAATTGATGTTTCTATCTTTCCCTCTCCCTTCCTCTCTGAAATCAATAAAAATATATTTAAAAAAATAATGATTTGTCTCACGATCAAAGGTTCCTTACTGTTGAGACGATAATAGGAATAATAATATACTGTACAAATAAAAGAACAATACAGCCCTAGCCGGCTTGGCTCAGTGGATAGAGCATCAGCCTTCAAACTAAAAAATCCCAGGTTTGATTCTGGTCAAGGGCACATGCCTGGGTGGCAGGCTCCATCCCCAGTAGGGGGCGTGCAGGAGGCAGCCAATCAATGATCCTCTCTCATCATTGATGTTTCTATCTCTCTTTCTCCCTTCCTCTCTGAAATCAATAAAGAAATATATTTTGTTAAAAATAAAAATAAAAGAACAATACAATATGGTATGTTCCAGGGGCTGCTCTAAGCCTTTTTTAAGAACTTAGTTTAAACCTCACAACAGGTACACTTATTAGCATCCTCGTTTTACAGATGAGTTCACAGGTGCAGCCACCTGCCCACGCTCACACCTGGAAAGCCGAGGAGCCAGGATTGGAACCCTAAGGATCCAATCACTAAACCACAACTTTATACACTGAGTTTCCGCCTCTGGAGAGCCCCGTGGGACAGGGTAATGTTTACTGCCACCATAGAGATGGCAAAACCGAGGCCCGATGAGCCAGGCGGGCGTTGCCCAAGACCAGGAAGCCCACAGGTGGAGGAGGTTTCTCCGATTCCCCCAGGCATGGCATGGTTCACCTTCTCCTCTCCTCTCTCCCTGCCAGGACCGGGTGCCAGTCTGTGGGCTGGAAGAGTCCAGAATCAGAGGGGAGGGGTGCCTCCCGTTTTATGGGCTGAAAAATGGGGATTTAGCCCATGCCACGTGCTAAGCACTGCTCTAGTGAGGTGGGTACTGTCACTCTCTCCCGTTACAGATAAAGGAAACTGAGGCACACGGGTGTCTTCTCTTGCCCAAGGTCCCTGGGCAGCCTGGCTCTCTGTCCTCCTCTCTGCTAAACTGCCTCCTGTGGCTCCAGTCCCCACCTTGGGGTTTATTATGAATTGAGTTAGTCATTAAGATAGAGAGCTGTGCCCTGGCCAGGGAGGTCAGTTGGTTAGGGGCGACATCCTGATCTGCCAAGGTTGTGGGTTCGATCCCAGGTCAGGGCACATACAAGAATCAACCAATGGATGCATCAATAAGTGGAACCACATTGCTATGACTGGTTTGGCTTGGTGGATAGAGCATCGGCCTGTGGACTGAGGAGTCCCAGGTTCGATTCCAGTCAAGGGCATGTGCCTTGGTTGCGGGCACATCCCCAATGGGGGGTGTGCAGGAGGCAGCTGATCGATGTTTCCAACTCTCTATCCCTCTCCCTTCCTCTCTGTAAAAAATCAATAAAATATATGTTTTTTAAAATAAGTGGAACCACAAATCAATGTCTCTGTGTGTGTCTTTCTCTCCCTTCCTCTCTCTCTGAAAATCAATCAATCAATAAAACTTTTTGTTAAAGGGTACAACCCAGGAGTCACTGACCACATGTGACTACTGAGCCCTTGACATGCAGCCAGGATGCCTGAGGAGCTGAATTTTTCATTTTATTTAAACTAATTTAAATATAAACGGTGATTCTTGGTTCAGTTATTAAAAAGTGCTAAGGGGGGAGGGGGTTGGAACAAGTAGGGTCTTTTTCAACTGTAAACCTTACGAAATCCAAGTATTTCCATGGAAAATGTAGCATCTGTACCAGATGGGCTACCCATCTGGCTTTTGAAGCCTGAGTATGCAAGACAGAAAGTAAAATGTCTCATTCATATTTTTGTATGAATGACCTACTAAAACGAGAATATTTTGATAGAAAGCACACTACATATCTGTGGCCCAGTGCCCGCTGCCTTTTTCACTACGGCCCGCAAGCTGACACGGGCGTTCACGTTTTTAAGTGGCTGGACAAAGTCAAAAGAGGAACCATATTTTGTGGCACGTGAAAATTACATGATGTTCACATGTCAGGTTTTGTCGGCACACAAGCACGCCCGTCGTCACATATGGTGTCTGGCTGAGTTCACACCAGGCCAAAGTTGGGCTGCAAAGGAGACCGTTCGGCCGGCAAAGTCTCCGCTATTGACTACCTGGCCTTGTACAGGCAGCTTGCCGAACCCCAGTTCAATTAGGCTAAATAAAATATATTACTAACATTAATTTCACCTATTTCATTTTACATGGTTTTAGTGTAGCTACGAGGAAATTTTAAACCACGTACGTAGCTCACTTTCTTTTTTTAATAATATATTTTATTGATTTTTTTTTACAGAGAGGAAGGGAGAGGGATGGAGAGTTAGAAACATCGATCAGCCGCCTCCTGCACACTCCCTACTGGGGATGTGCCCACAGCCAAGGTACATGCCCTTGACCGGAATCGAACCTGGGACCCTTGAGTCCACAGGCTGACGCTCTATCCACTGAGCCAAACCGGTTAGGGCCGTAGCTCACTTTCTGTTCCTATAGGACAGGTCTCAGGTGGAGCGCTCAGCCTGATGCAAGTAATCGCTCGATAGTGACAATTATTATTATTTCTCCTGCGATCCTCCTGCTCTGTCCCTCTCCCCCAGGTGGAGCCCTGTCTGGATTTCTGGGGGTGGGGGGGATTGGCCCACTTCCTGCTGGGAATAACCCAGTTGGGTGGGCTTCAATCCCGACCACAGGCATGAACACGCATGTATCGGCCGTGGACACCCACGCACGCGTACACTCACACATGACGAGTGACACACAGACACTCATGTCCTAGCACAGTGGTTCTCAACCTCCTGGCCCTTTAAATACTGTTCCTCATGTTGTGACCCAACCATAAAATCATTTTCGTTGCTACTTTATAACTGTCATGTTGCTACTGTGATGAATCGTCATGGAAATATCTGAGATGCAGGATGGTCTTAGGCGACCCCTGTGAAAGGGTCGTTCGACCACCAAAGGGGTCGCGACCCACAGGTTGAGAACCGCTGTCCTAGCAGATGCCCAGACACGTGTTCTAAGGCAGAACTTGGTGATCCTGAGACCCCACTGACAGCCGCAGGTGAACGGGGACATCCGCCTTTTGGCAAAAAAGGGGCAACACCGGGAGGAGATGCTCACCCCACAAGAGACCCAGGGGCCCCCTCCCCCACCCCCCTCCCAGGGTCTGGACAACAAAACAGCAATAGTCACAGTGGGGTTCGAACCATATGAAATTGCCATTTTTACAGGTCAAGAGAGGCCACATATCAGCGATTTCATCTGGTTCAACTTAAACTGAACACATCAGAAGAGAAATTCACAGCCACCTGTGAAGCAAATAGAGGCCCTCCCCCCCGCCCCACCCCCCATCCAGCACACAGACATGCACGGACTTACAGCCGCACGAACACGGACATGCCACACACTACATACAGGTGGGACGGCCACCCGCAGAGCCTGGACCCGCGCACTCAGCCTCACGTGGTCGCTGTCACACACCTGGGCTCACACCTGAAATCTCCG